ACTGTTGCTGGTTGTGTACATGAAGTGACATACCTGGACTGCTACTGCTGCTACTGACACTTGCTGGACGCGAGTCAAAGTTTGAAATGGCACCAACGATTTCAGTTACCAGTGCTGGATGCTCCTGTACCAGTTCTGCCCATCCATCCGTCTGAATTCTGATAGATTAGATGACGTGCCAGTTACAATCATGAAATAATCGCAGAGAAATCAAAAATCCCGGCTCAATCGAGACCGAAAAATGAATTTTTGTTTTTAAACAAAATTTCCATTTCCCTAATCTCGGCAAGCTTCCCTAATGACTGTCAGTGAAAACGTCTCCAACCCACTGCTTTATAAAGAGAATAGGACCATGTTGCGTAAATTTTGCGGCAAACAGTGTTCAGACAGCCGACTTCAAATAAAGTCAACAGCAGTTCATTTGCCGTCAAAAGATGAATCTGCCGCCTGCTTATTAGCAACACACAAACGCAATTTTGGATATGCAGCCAGTAAAACCTGCGATTTCGGAATTCCTGGATCATTGCCAATTGTCGTAGGCAAGAAAAATGAAGACATACACTAATGACGGACGATGAATTCTGCGCGATGAATTTCACAGCATCGGCTTTCAGCTCTCGGGCATTGTGCATATCAGCGAAAACCAAATAGCGACACGCCGATTCCACCATCAATCCATTGCGCAGCACCTTAATAATAATGCTGCAGATTGAGCAAGCCTGGAGGTGGCGTCAACCACGACGAAATAAAGTATTAAAGGCGAACCTGATCGGCCATATCTTTGAGACCGGGAAGTTGGAATCGATCGGCTGCTGCCAGAAGCTCTAAGGCCATCGTTGACAAATTAGGACATCGACCACTGTACATATAAAGAAGTAACTCTTGCATTACCTGCAACCAGTGCAAACTGTAAAATTGTCGAAATCAAAATCTTTTTGGTATTTCACCTTATACGAACAACTGGGGGCTAAAAAAAAATAACAGAGCAAGAGCACGCCAACAAGATTGTCGCTGTTCCCCTCTCCCATTCAGGGATTTTCTAAAACAAAGCAGCAATAATAACTATCATAAGCAGAGGCAATCAAATTAAAGAGAAAAAAATCAAGTGCACTAAGAGTATTATTCGAACTGAAAGGAATACCTCGAAATCGATTCGAAGCAAGATCCCGAAATTAATGCCCCGAAACTACAAATCAATAAAGAGCGGCGCGCACCAGGGTAACTAGTACGATTTTTCATGCGTTTTGTGCAACCCTGTCTAGCGAACGCTTATGCAATTCTGTCCGGTGGACGCTTCTGCAACCCTGTCCAGCTGACGCTTGTGCAACTCTGTTCAGGGAAACTTTGTTGTTAAAAGTGCCCATTGCATTACTGTTTGTGGTTCCCGGGTTATTAATTTTGGCGCCAAAACCTCCACTTGTCCGTACACAAAACTTAGACATGCGCTGGAATGAATTTACATTTGAGCAAGGAGTACTGCTCTAAAATTTCAGCCTTCTAGCCTTTGTGGCTCCTTAGTTAATCATTTTGACGCTAAAATTTTTGCATATCCGTACCTAAGAA